TAGATATAAAGCAATTCATAATTTGTGTTTTCTTCGTCCCGATTATATTATTATATCATTATATTATTTTAGAGAAAAATAATTTATTTTAGCATTGGCTTTAGTTCACTCATAATCAGTAAGTAATATTATATTTCAATTACAAATTTGAAATTTTCTATATAATTTTAACCGTCGGCCCGATAGATATACTAATTATAGAAAAAACTTTTTCACTATGATTTTTTATCAGTTGTTTGATAGTTCCATAATTTTATTTCTCTCAAAGAATATCATATCGTCTTCTAACACATTCTTCATACACGCCTATTAAAAAAAACATAATCAAAGAATAACAATAAAATAATGATGGGAAGTAATTAATATTTAAGAAAAGCACTATAACACTAAAAGACACATTCGATTTCACAAACCAGCCTTTCTTCATCGACAATTAACTAATAAAATTAGGATTACAATTTCAAAACTGCTTTAACAAAGTCCTAAATGTATCAATAGGCTAAGTTCCAATTACCATAAGAAATCACAAAGTTCATTACACTTCACACAAATAAATTAAATCACTGTCTTATAATAGAACTGCAACAGGAGCTATTCGGAATCAAAACGATAATGACATATTTTTTGAATTCTTAAAGTCCAAAACCTCTTTTACACAACTTAGTTACCACACAAATAATTAAACCAGCACCATACTTTCGTAAAAACTTTCGAAATAAATTTCAAACAGCAAAATTATAATTTTATTCCCTGACAGCGTCCTTTTCGGTCTGATACTAAACAAATAAATAAATTCATCCTACGTTCTTGGTATATGGGATTAAAATATACTACCTCCAAAACGGTGGTAATTTAAGAAGATGTTATGATTGCTGCGAAAAAATAACCAACGCGAACACCCAAAATAATAGATACATGTACGGAAAAGATTATAGGGATGACGATAGTCTATACATAAATTCGTGCTAAAACACGATACATTTATATTTTCGATATATCGAAATATACTGTTTTTTAAAAAAATTAAAAAACATACTTTTAAATTAAATTGGTCTGGTACGTAAATTACTATATTTTGTTGAATTGAATTAGCGGAATTACGCATCCAATTTACTTTATTGTTATGAAGCTTAATTGAAAATTAACAGTATAAACTATAGTAAGTTATAACTTGGGTAAACTCTATTTTTGTTCTAACTGTTTACAATTAGTCATAATAATTACTAAAGGTTTTTTCTATAAAGAAAATAGATCATAATTGTATCTTTCCCATTAGTATTATTGCAGAACTTTATTACAATTACAAATGTTATCAATACAAGCGTGTTTTTGTAATAATTGTAAAATCCTGTGTCTGATGTACTGCTTATGTCATGTGATCGGTATAGAAAAAAATAGTTGGCAATATCAAAATTACATTCATTAACCCTTAATTATTTTTGATAAAATCGTATATGATTTTTACTTCATGACTAAAATGAGATTAAATTATAACAAAATTGCGATCTCTGTTGTTTTACAAGAACTGAGAAAAAAAACTATAATAAAAAACTGGGGAAACGACATACGATGCCTTTAGATCTCATAAGGTCTAACGCGAATACAGGAAATTAGACAATAAATTATGACAAACATTATGAAATTTTATCTACAATAAACCATACAAATTTTTAGATGCGTCTTTTTAATACAATTTAGTTAATTAAAAAATGAAATTTATTCTAATAGTCGATTTTACTGTTGCAAGGTTTTTGCAACCCTAATCGTGGCTGCAGTAGTCAGTAGGTATATTGCAGTAGCGCGGGGAATTTATTCGTAAAATAACAAACGATTGTTTTCTTTGGGCGATACGTGCTTTTCTCTGTCTTTTCGTTTTTATACTTTCGACTCAAAATCCAATTCATTCAGAAAACCGTTAACAAGCTTCATACCGAGCTTAGCGCACGTCGGGAGAGTACTATTTACAGTAAATTTAATTTATATATCATTATTATTGGTGCTGTGCCCCAAGGTTCATGGTGTGAGATCACCATATTTATATCATGCAAACTTTTACTTTACTTCTCTGATCATGTAAGTCTTCTTAGACCATATGCATTCTTTTTTTGGTCAAACTTACCTCTCATACTTCGCAATACAGAAGGCACTTTAAGCCAATTTCGTTTTTTTAACAATATTGTATACGGTAGAGTCTTTATTTTCTTCATTCTTCAGTATGTACCATATATCGAAATACTTTCCAGATTGATTTTGTCGGCCTTATTTCAGCCTCATTTTACATTATATATTTTCATTTTATATATGTTGGAGGTAGGGTAGACCTGGGCACAAAGGTCCAATTTGACTTTCAGTAATTTATCTCTTATTCATAATAGACCCAAGAATTTTTTATAAAAGCCGCCATTTTTTATAGTAATTTTGTATTGTGCTTTTCATTAAACTAATGTTTCTTATTTACCTTATTTTATAAAAAGTGCCCGTGGCACAATATTAACGAGTTAGCTCGATTTACATTGAAATAACAGTAATATGTTACATTACGTCGCGTAAAGCGGAAAGGTACTCGAGCATGTCGCAGAATATATCAATCAAATTAAGCCCGGCTAAGAATCATTTTATTTTCTTTCGAAATATATACGAATGCGCCTCTCGTCTTGAACAAACAAAGTTGCTTTAGTCGTCTTATGTACGATAAATATACCAAGTCATATGTGCAGCACACTTGTGGATTAAATTTAAAGCGGCCACATTTTTCAAAATTAATTTTAATAATTTTGTGATCTCACTACTTTTGCGACGTATATGTATATAGGACAACTTGCTGATTAATATTTCTGACAAAATACCAGATCAATGTTATTTACATCTCTGTAAAAATTCAGCCATGAAAGTTATATTTCGCTTTGTTTGAATAATGTAGCTATTATTTGGTGAAATCCCTTTAAAATTGAAATAACATATTGGACCTTTTTGTCCCCTGGCTGTCTCAATTTACCCCGTCTATCGGGTAAAAAAGACCAGATTACAACAGTTCACAGTTCGATTGATATGAGGTATTTGTTGTAATGTAACTCGTTTGGTTTTCACAATATAATTGCTCGAAATCAAAATTGGACCTTTATGCCCTACCCTACTACATCGAACCTATAAGGGATACACGTAATATTTTTACAGGACAATTAAATATTGTGTTTTATGGTAAAATCAAACTTATCGTTTCACTTTTCATTAATGTATAAAATACATATATGTCGGTACTGATGTAAAGATATAAACAGATTTATCGGAATTATTGGCATTTGGTTTAGAATATTTATACTTTTTATTGAAAAGAGTATTGTTTTTTATTATTATATACAACTAGCCGACCCGACAGACCTCGTTCTGTCAAAAAAAATTGTAATGTGGCGGTGTTTTGTTCCTATCTTTTTTCTATTCTTTGCTAAAAATTATCCTGAACAGAACCGTCACCCTGGTAATAATTCGGTGTGAATTAAAAATAATTAAATAAAACACTATAAGCATTTAAAAGTAAGTAATTCAATTCATTTACATCAATGTTTTTGGCTGCCAATATAGCTCGTTAATTAATAGAAAGATACCTAGACAATATTAGAATACCCTGTGTTCATGGAAAGATATTTCTATGTTTATATAAAAAATATTAAAAATTAGATTATCAAAAACTACACAAAAAGTCATGGCATAGATCAATGTTTTTTCTACAAAGTACGTTGCCTACTCGATTAAAAAAGAAAGGGCTGTTTTTAGGGTTTCCCCGGCAATTATTCGATTTTTTCTTGCCGTAAGAACCATCCTTGGACATCAAAGAACATTTTAAAAGAAGAATTGGCCAAATTGGTTCAGACATTTTTGAGTTATGCGCTTACCAACACATTTTGCGATCCATTTTTATATATAAGATAAAAAAAATCTAACGACGATGAAATTCACTAGGTTTAGGAATTAATACATTTAATATTAGTTTGCTCAATTTTATACAAAATATTATTAAGGTCAACGAACAATTTAAAGTAAAAATTAAATAGTATATATAAAATAAATTTAATAAATTGATTTATAATTGTAGTAAAAACTCAATAATATAATATTTGAATTTGAATACATTTCACAATAATGGCAAAATTAATTGCCGATGCAAGATAAATGTCAAGTCAAGCATTTTAATAATCATCCAAATATTTTTTTAAAGAGAAACAAGGCTCATTATATAGATAAGCTTCTAGGTTCAATATATACAGCCGCGAGTGTACATATTATACGAGCTTATATAAAGAAGTGTTGCTAAAATACACACTATAAATTATAGAAGGTGTCAGTAATCTGTTTATACTAGGGAAATTCAATTTGCGTTGTTGACACAAAGTTCTCATCCAAAGAAAGTACATTTCTATGTATCCGCCCCCGTCCCGTCGCTTCGTGCAACGTTATCCGACCTATTTGTTCTTATTTCGAATATCCCCGGAATAAATTTCTACCGGAAACAGATAATGGGAAAGGCGTGTCGCGGGCAACAATGCCATTGTCGGCGAGGGAGCCGCCCTCAGAGGCTATTGGATCAAACCGTTCGGTCTCGGCCGCGCTCAATTCCGAGCCAGAGCAAGACGAACGCTGCTTCGAATATCGGAATTTCCATCGCATGCCACTTCGAGAGTCCCTTATTAGCGCGAACGGGACGGAACTAGGCTTTTCGCAGTCTGCGGAGAGAGGGAATATTTTGGTTCACGCCAGCCATCAAGTCAGGCGTGTGGTGCGCGCAGTCGTTGTTGATTTTGGGCAGCAAAAGCATAGAAGCCACCGCTAATTCAGTGCATAACGGGCGCGCGATAGCTAACTACTATTGCAACTCTAATAATATTATACTCTTGCTAGAATTTAAGTCGTGTTAGCATTCAAGTGATTTTATAATATATTGTGTAAATAAGTTATGTGTTTATTATAGACCTTGTGTTATTTAGGACTTTAAAAAAGTGAAAAAAATGCACGCGCTATTCGGTGAACAGAACGCCTACTACAGGCAGACCAGTGCCACGGCTGGATATCCGGTGTCCGGCGCTGGTGTCCCGCATGCGGCTGCAACAACGCCATATGGTTATGAACAGTATTCTCGTTATGGATATGCAGGAACGTCACCTTATGCGCTTAGTGCACATCATCATCATCATCACCATCATCAACAACAATCTTTACATGCAGCTAAAGAAATGGTTAAACCGCCGTATTCATATATTGCTTTGATAGCTATGGCAATTCAGCACGCTTCAGAAAAACGGATAACATTAAACGGTATTTATCAATTTATAATGGAACGATTTCCTTATTACCGAGAGAATAAACAAGGCTGGCAAAATTCGATTAGGCATAATTTAAGTTTGAACGAATGTTTCGTAAAAGTAGCTCGGGATGATAAGAAGCCTGGAAAAGGAAGTTATTGGACGCTTGATCCGGATTCGTATAATATGTTTGACAATGGCTCTTATTTGCGCCGAAGAAGACGGTTCAAGAAAAAAGATGCTGTGAAAGAAAAAGAGGAAGCTTTGAAACGTCAACAGCAGTTACAGATGGCGCACGACGCTGTTTCAGTAAAAAGGACAGCTTCTACAACAATTAGACGATGTGAAAGTCGATGTTAAACCTAAGTTGAAACGTGAACCAGACTGCGGATCTAATAAATATCCAAGTATTGTAGCAGGCGTAGTGTCAGGAACTCAAGAATTAACTCTAGCAGATCACACTACAGTAATGGACACGAGCGCCGCATTTAGCGTGGACAGCTTAATGGGTGGTGCATATGCAAGAACACCTTCATTAACAAATCTACCAGGCTTGTACCCGTACCATTGTTCACAATACCAAGAAGAACAGCAACAACATCAGCACCAATCACAACAATATGCGACACGGCCTTCAGCTTGGTATACGCCGGAAACATCGCCTGAAATGCCTCCCGGATTTCGGGATTTATTTGAAGCTCCCAGCTGTCAAATGGCGCCGCCGCTCCCTACGCCCGGCTCTGTGCAGGGCAGCCCGCCGAGAGTGACGACACCGCCGCCCGTGACGACGGCTCATTACCGGCCGCATACCGGAACATATTACCAGCCGGACTGCGCGCAAAAGTACTGACGCCACCAGTAGTACTCGACCGAGTTTCGTGGTACGTACCGTTCTAAGATTCCGTTTCTAGTTTGAGTGGACGATTTCAATATCGCGAACTGAATCTCCTTTGTGAAAGAATATAATTTGTGTTAATAGAGTTCTAAGTGTTACAACTAAGTGTTCTGGTTCTGAAGTACCATAAGCTACATTTTCAATAATGTCATCAGCATTCAATAGATAAACGGTTCCGTAATTTTCAATGGGTTAAATATACTAATTCAACCAGAATTTTTATCTTGATTGAGGTATTGAGGTTCATTTGATTTATTCATGTAAGGTTATTCATCTGAATAATTGCCATGACCGAATTAAGCTAATTTCGTAAATACTCATTTTGCAGTATCTCAAATATTAAAAAAAAACAAATTTAATCACTCTTTATATATACGTACTTATTTGTTAACATTTTGCATTTAATAGTAGTAGAAATAATTAACAGACCAATTGTAATAAAAATTATGTTAAAAAACATTATTATAAAATTCTTATTAGCGTAATGTATATATTTCCAGTACATATTCTTGGCAATGTACTATAATGTATTATATTGAAAACATGATCTAAAATATATAATTGTGATAATAATTGATATATGTTAAATAACATAAGCAAGAATTTAGATGCATATATGGCTAAGTTTATCAAGCTTTATACGGCAAAACTTACCGTTAACTATTAGCATACTTATTAAGTGCTAAGGTTAAGGATAATGTTAGTTGTTGCTATAGATATGATAGTATTGCTACCTTAAGGAATGTTATGGATTGAATTTTCTTAGAATCGTCATGTAAATACTTTCTGCTTTAAATCTTTGAACTAGACTATGATTAACTATTTCATTTAAACAATTACAGATGTTAATCACTTTAAGTTATATTGAAATCTTTATAAATAAAATAATTACCTACATAAAATTTAGACAATATATTCTATAAGCGTGGTAAATGTTATTCAAATTCATGATAAAATTTATTGAGATTGGCAACATAGTTGTGATTTAATAGTTACTCAACCATTTTTTTTCTGTCTTACTTGTTTTATCATTCCTTTCCCTAAAATGTGTATAATTCACATAAGATATAGTGAATACTTTGTATATATAACTGAATGTATTAATCGGAAGATAGAAGTAATGATTATATAAATATATATAAATATAATAGTATAATGTAAAATTATGAATGGAGTGCTAAATTCGAACATACCTATAAATATATATTATATGAAAAATGACTGTCTGAATATTTATTAATAAGTAAAATAAATAATATTGAATAGTATGAGATCTTTTCATTTATACACATATAACAAATATTTTATTTTCAGCTATTTCAGTTATATATATTTGACAAGTTATTATTAGAAGGAATTTCCTGGATTTTTATATTTAAAAATTAAACGTGTTTCAAGTTTTCACTTGTACACGGTTTTAAAATATGTTTTTAATATTATTTTTTTATTTAACTTACTTTTTTAAAGTTTTGTATAGATATTCAATAGAGTTAACTCAATAGAAATAATAATAAAATGTATGAATATGATCATTATACTATTTATTATTACGGTATCTGAGAACGTTAAAGTTATTAGATCCCCCTGATTAGACTTTTCAATTTATTTTTTGTATATAAAGTAGGTTTAAGGTATTATTGTGACTTAAGATAATGATGTATTTCTAGGCCATTAGGCTGAAATAAATAAATATAATAATAATATTACGGTATCTGACTATGTTCAGTAAAACTCCCAGCAAATTTATCGCTGTAGAAATGTGATTTTACTGTTTTTAAAAAATTTACGTCATAGGCGAGGTAAAATAAGACAGCCAGGAAGCAAACAGGACCAATATCTTATTTTTAATTTTAAAATTTTACGAAATAATAGCTACATCATTCAACCAATGCAAAATATAAATTTCATGAGTACAGTTTTTACAGAGAACACACTGCAAACAACCTTGATCTGGTATTTTTGTCAGAAATAATAATAAGCAGAGTTGTAATGGAATGAAATAAAATATTCATTATAAAATTGCTTTAACCCAATTTACTATTTTATTTACTATTTTTTATTATTCCCAACTTTGTCAGGATAAAGGCTCAGATGATCCTTTTTGCCCCATTTACATGCAAGCTTTTATAAAGGTTATATAAAAAAAACTGTTCAATCTTAAAAATAGCAATACATATAAGACATTTAATTAACGTAGACTTAAAAAGTATATTGAGGTCTCGCAAACTAAATAACAGTGCTCACAATCAAATAAGCTAACGAAAAAAAATTTGTTATGAATTTTCAAACATTTCAGTTTATCTCCTGATAGAAATCAAAGCGATTCCTGGTTATACTTCTTTTTTCCACTACTTTCAAATATAGTTATTAAAAAAAATTTAACTTTACTTGTTCTTAATACCCTATTACATCGAAAAATTCTTTTTATTCTCATTTTTAGTCCCGACTATTCTTATCTTCCACACTTATCAGAGATAACAGATATTTCAAACATACATCAATATAACATTTATCTATTTCTATCCACATTAATATCTCTATAAAATCCATATTAAATCCGCAGGCCACGCCCGTGCGCACTCCCGGGAAATTCAAATCGAAAATTCGCTTCTATCCGAACCACGCCCTGCTACGCTTGAAACAAAAGCTGTGCTGTAGACCACGCATCACCGTAGCGTGGGTCTACGGTCTACGCCGTAGCGGGGGTAGTTGGATGGAGAGCTACGCCGTTAAAAGCTCTCCATTGTAATATGTATTACATTATCTTTGCAAAGACAATATTATTGTTATTTAATGCCTTAAACTGTGTACGAGAGCGCGGACGGCGCAGTTTTTAGACTTCCTAGTATTAAGATCTTGAACGGGTTAACCAGAGTATGGATATATAAAACTAATTGTAAGACGAAAAGCGAATATTAGAAATATTTTTTTTGAATCGATATTTTTATATTTAAAATGGTTAAATATATCAAATCTGATAATTGTGATTTACATATCAGTTTTCATAGTATTTTCTATATCTGCGAAGAATGGGGACTGAAAGTAATGGCTTTTTAAAATTATATCAAAACTATCTGACTATGTTTAGTAAAACTACCACCTAGTTCATCATTGTGAAATGTATATTTTTGGTATTTTTTACCCCATAGGCGGAGTAAATTGAGACGACCAGAGAATAAACAAATCAAATGTACTATTTTAGTTCTAAAGAGATTTTACAAACTAGTAGTTACATATTCAACCAATACAAAATTTCTTGGGTGCATTTTTTACAGAGATAACACTCTAAATAACATTGATTTGGCTTTTCCTCGAAAATATACATTAGCAGAGCTGGAATATCTATTTTTTTTAAATGTATATCTACTAAAATTGCTTTTTCTACTTAATTTTCTATTTTATTTGCTATTTTTTATTTTTTACACCTGTGCCATGGTAAAGGTTCAGTTGGTCCTTTTTATCTCACCCAGGGGCAAGCTCTTATAGAGATTATATAAAAAACTGTTAAATCTAACTTAAAATTAACAATAGGTCTTTAAGAAACGTATACTTAAAAATTATATTAAGGCTTCGTGAACTAAGCAACAGCGCTCATAACCAAAAAAACTAAATATCAATAAAATACTTTTTTTATTGATATCCAACTGTTTATCTACTGATATCAACGTCATAAGAACCAAGATTGTGGCTGGTTATACACATTTTTTTCTCTTTGTTATTAAAAAATTCTTAACTTTACTTGTTTCTGAGATATCGGTGGTAAATCTTTCTATCCGCGGACCTTTAATCCCCACTGTACCTTATCTATTTTATACGCGTATTCTTTGTACATTTTTATTAAAAATTCATTGGGTAGGATATATATAATTGATATTGAAAAGAAAAATACTGATGTATACAATTCGGAGCGATCGTCCCGTATCGATGTTTCACGCTTGACGCTTTCAACATGGCCAAAGGCTGACATTTGCCAGCAAACGCGCGAAATATTAACAAACGCATCCGATCAAATACATGCAAAACGAACATACTCGTAAGTTACAAAAAAATTATGCGAATCAGCCAAACATAAATCTTTTGACCCACGAATGCATCAGATTTGAATCTTAAGAAAAAATCTGAATTCTTACAATGTAATTCGTTCACAAACGAATAATTTTTGTTTAACCCAAAGGTTTTCTCCTTAAAGTTTTATTCCTTAAGTTAGGGAAATGTATGCATAAATAAAAAGTACCTTTCGTAGGCGTTTTCTCAAAATTCAATTTAAAATAAAATTAAAAAAACTCACCATAAATACTCTTATTGATTAATTTTGAAATTAAAAAAAAAGGTTCGAAAGATGTCTGTTGAGGTTCAAATTAGTTTATTAACATGTATGCAGATCATTTCTTCGTAAAAAATTGTTACGAATTTAAAAACCCAAAATCTATTCACTTTACGTTCAATTGCCAACACGTTTTCTTAC